AAATTAGTGAATCGAAAGATCTTTTTAAGGCTTAATCTAAACTAAAATGTTACACGTTGCCGATCGCAAACTTATATAATTTTTTTTTAGTGTAGGGCTCTACCTTAAAACTATTTTTAAACTTTAATAAGAGTATAAGAATGTAGGTGGGATTGTTTTTTTTCTTCTAAAATTTAAACTGCAAAGGAATTAAATTACAGCCTATAAATACCATATTTTGTATGCAGTGAAGAACCTTTTACCCTCTTGGAATTTTTTTTAGCTTTTATTATCTGAGAAGATCTTACAAATTTAAAAGTCAGTCCTTTAGAATACTGGGAAACTTTAAATCTTTAAGTCAGAAATCGCTTTTAACTAAAATAAACTAAAAATTGCCTAAAATCTTAATCGTTTGACCTAAAATGACGCCTATGGAGTTGGTTTCCTTAATATTAGGTAGTAAAGTTTTAGGGAATAAAATAGGCTAAAACTGCTTTTTCGGCTATAGAATTTTTCGGCCACGAATTTTGGACGACTTGTGACCCAATAAATTAAAAATATTTCTAAAAAATCAGCTTTTGGACCACATTATGATGATATTTATATTTGTTGTACGTAAATTCTAACACTTAAATATAATACATCCCTCTGAAAACTCCGGTGAGATTGGAACCCTGAACTTCGGCGCGAGAGTGGAACTATTTGCGGCCCAACCAGGAACTATTTGTCGAGACCCAACTTGAAGTCCTGTAATAAACTTAATCTATTGAAGCAGTTGCTTAACGTTTTGGCCTACACATTACCTTAAAAGTTGAAATGTTGTCCTAATTTGGTTATTTCTCCAATGAAAGTCCACTATTTGGTATTTTAAAGAAAACAGTACCTAAAATGTAATCGGCTACATATTTAGGATATTTACCTACATTTTAGGTCTCAGATTCCTAAAATATTTGAACTTAAAACATGGTTTTATAAATAATATGACCCATTTTTAAGGCAACTGTTACCTATAATATTAATTTTTGGCAAATTTCTTAAATTTTATGAAAATCTTTTTACGATGAGTATTTTATGTAATTTCGATGAGTATTTTCTGAATTCGAAGAAAAAACCCTGAAATCGTAGCACTTTTCCATGGTGGTACGGACAATTCGACAATGATAACATAATCATTTAATTTTCTGAGTGTTATCCAAGTGTTTTCGTGAATCGAGACAAGTTTTGTTAACTTAGTATTAACCCAGGCTTATTTTTTTATAGTATCAAAAGTGAAACCTGACCCTCAGCCTCGCTTTTTAATTTTATTAAAAATACTTTTGAACGATAACATTGGCTTACAAATTTAAATCGACAAAATCCTACAGAGATAAAACCTTGAATTTCTGGTTCAGTTGGATTATCTGATTTCAAAAATTGCACTACATTTTTTTGTATGCCATTTTTTTTTTAATTGTAAATATCGTTTTTCATTTGTTTTCATGCCTTTTTTTTCTCCAGTTCAGCTTAACCCTATACAATTGATTCGCCGGCGGATTTTTAAGGCTAATAGCGTTTTTGCTTCGTTATTGTTTCACTTTTTATACCCTTGCAGAGGGTATTATACTTTCAGTCAGAAGTTTGCAATGCAGTGAAGGAGACTTTTCCGACCCTATAAAGTATATATATTCTTGATCAGCATCACTAGGAGAGTCGTCTAGCCATGTCCGTCTGTCCATCTGTCCGTCCGACCGTCCGTCCGTTTCTACGCAAACTAGTCTCTCAGTTTTAAAGCTATCTGCATGAAACTTTCCCAAAAGTTGTTTTTCTATTGCAGGTAGTACATATGTAAGTCGGGACGAGCCGGATCGAACGACTATAGCATAAAGCTGTTTTTTTATTTTTTTTTTTTGGTTCTTCGACATATAGTAATGGTTTAATATTTCAGAATTACGGTTTCATGAAAATCGGACGACTATAACATAAAGCTCTCATGGAAACAATAAAAATATTAAAAAAAAAAAAACTTTTTATTGTTGACATTTTTTAAAGAAAATTTTCACATTAATAATTTGATAGTTTAAAATTACGCTTTTAATTTTATTAAAATCGGAAAACGATACATATAGCTGCCATAGGAACTATCGAATAATTGAGATACTAATTTAAATGTTTTCAAGAATATTGAATATTTGCAATAGCTGAACTTCGGCTTGCCGAAGTTTGCTTCATTTCTTGTTTATCGCTATTTTCGGTATTTTGGCGGGAATTTTTTGTATATATAAATTTTGTATAGAGTAAAAACTTTAGTTTTCACTACTTTTACAAACTTTGTCGAGCTATGTATGTGAAAGTTGAAGAACGTTTAGTTTTTAATAAAACAAGCTATTGATCATGATCAAATTAAATAGGCATGAAAACAGGTGAAAAACGTTATTTACAGTTTAAAAAAAAGGTACCATACAAGAAATTAAGAGCTTCATTTTCCGAGTCAGGGGCTGTCCAACTGTACTGGAAAATGCATAAACCAGTGCAATACGTTTTATTAGTCCAAATATATTTGGTGTCTCCATAAGTGTTTGTATATAATTAAATAAATTGATATTTGTATTTTAATTATTTTTAAAGTTCTATGTACTAAAATGATTAAAGTGTCTAGACATGACATTTTCAACAGCATGCAGCATATATATATATATCTGAATAACACTGATTTTAAAAAGTTACAAGTTAATAGTCGTTATCTAAGCGCATTTTATTGTAGTACTTCGTTGCCTATTTGTATATGTATGTATATGTAAAGAGGAGTAAGTAATACGATTTTTGAACCCTTCTTCGTCCGCGTTATAGTCTCAGTATCCGAATCCACGTCCGCTCAACTTAACTTGAATTCCTCCGCTCGCATGTCGGAAAGCTTTATTAATTGTTGTGTACAAGTTTGTATGACTACACACTCTGGCAATGCAATACAAAAAGCATTTTTTTGTGTTTTGCTGATTTCAACGCATTTAGTTTTGTTGTTTAAGCGCTTTTATTGACACCCAAAGAAAAAAAAATAGTTTGAGCCTTATTTTCATATTAAAAATTGAAATAAAAAAAAATTATATGCATATATACATACATATGTATGTTTTAACTGTAATGCTATTTCGTTTGTTGTTTCCTTTATGTTTACGTTTCTGTTTCTGTTCGTTTTTTGTCTAATTTTATTTGTTTCAGTTGCGTGTGATTCGTGCTTTCCGCTCGACATTGGAAGACCTAAGCGAACGCCGATCGATGCACAGCTTACATAGCTTACGCAGTCCGCGGACGGGCATGCCAGTACAATTAGGCACTGGCCACCCGCTGTACAATTTTAACCTGCTGAGCCCCAATTACGCCAAGCACCAACACCACCACCACCACCAACAACAACAACAACAACAACAACAGCAACCAAATCCGTCAGCGAAGCCGCAACAGAACGTGTCAAGTGCCATGCTGCCGCCGGACATATCTTACATTGACGAAGACCCGCAACAGCATCAGCGTACTGTGCACAACGGACTAACTTCCCAACACCCATCAATGTCCACAAACATAACTGCCCCTGTCGCAAGCCAAAGCTTTTCAGAAATTGCACAAACCTTGCAGCAACAAATCCGTTTAAATAACACCGAAACCAAGCATTCCAATGGACAGAATGAGACTCGAATTTAAATGGTTCCAGTTGTTGTCAGTAAAAAAAGCGTCCCATTGAATTTGATTTCGAATTTGAAAGAATAAATCATGGTGAGGCTTATTAAGAATTCCGAGATCCAAATCAGACTGACCACAAGTGGTTAAAGTAATAAGTAAATGATCGTGCTTATTTCAGTATATACATACCTGTAATATTATAAAGAAGCACATTGACATTGACATTTCTTAATTGAACTGTAAACTCTTAAGGGAACCCCAATACCACAAAGTGAATTTATTTATCTTATATATACAAACGTGCATGAAATTGCATAATGCCGGAGATATAACATTTAATTTCTTATTTTAACTAGCTTGTTATCCCCAACCAAATAAGTACATGCAATGCTCACACAACCAAAGGTTCCCAGAGTGCCCTGAAAATAATGTTTTGTTACAATAATACCAACCTTACAGTTTAGAAAATGTAAGCATGCATTTTATAAAAAACCTTCGTATTTTTGCAAAAAAAATAATGTATTATTGTAGTACTTGTATTACTAACAAAAAATCAAACCTTTTGCCTATTTTTTCTGTGTGGTGCGTTATTATAAATTAACTTTATTCAAACATGGAGCAGTGTTTGTCAAGATACTTTCTATGTATCGATGCAGTATTTCTTCGCCGCTCTTAAAATCAAATCAACCCTTAATCGCGAAAACATTTCGGATATAAAGGATTTTATATATTCAATATATAAACAACGTGGTATAAATTAATTACTGTAAAAACAGAATTTACAGATCAGCATTTGAAAATGAGTATGAGTTTAGGCCGTCGCATTGATATTTAACTTAGTCGCTTGTTAAGTACGTATGTATATACGTACGTGCTTATATCTAAGGTGGAACGTCAATATAATTTGTGTAATGTTACTGAAAACGTTTTACCCCATCACCACTGCTCTTGAATCCTAAAATAGCCGACGTTTTTTTTTCAACAAACATCTTGTGTCCTTTCCAGAATTATAATTAGCTGATGACCCTAAAGTTACCATTTCCTCCTTTTTCACAAATACATATGTATAACGATACAAAAGCATTTACATCATCATGATACATACAATTTTTTTTATATTTTTGAACAACAAAGTATTTTTCTAATCATTTACATTACAACTTACATTTTTGCTTTTAAACAATTGAACAACAATACATGTATATTATTATATTCAAATTAATGTTAAAATGTTTGTAGTAAATCATTTTAATAGCAGCAAGATAAATCTAAATTTCAGCCTTCTTATGTCTATTTTTCTCTTTCCCACTTATTGTTTTCTATTTTACTTTCTATCTCTCTCCCTTTCTTTCTCTTTAATCTCAAAGGTAATAGGCGGCGAGTTGCAAGAACGCTTGATTCCGGTCCCATATAGCAAGAGCAACACTGATCAAGCTGTAAGCCTTCACAATTTTATTATAATTTATGTTTGCAAATTTTAAATATTTTAAAGAAAACCAAACATTAAGTTCTATCTTAGCCATATGTGTCACTAAGATAGAGCTTACGTGGTGTAAAAAGTGTTTTGACTATACCCTGCAGTTCTGAAATTCTAACTGGCCCAAAATTCATCACTATTTCATCAGAATGCGACGTTGGCAGAGACGTTTGCGTTGCCGGCAGAACCGAAAGCGACAAGAGAGAGCAGACCTCTCAGCCGACAATTGTAGCAAACGCAGAAAAAATCCACCCCCACTCTCTCAATTTCTTTTCCGATTGTAGAGCGAGATTTACTGATGATTTTGGGTGCTTTTTTGCTGATGATTTACTGATGATTTGGTGATAATTTAACTTACTGATGAATCCCTATGACATGCCTATTTAAAAATCATCACCATTTTGTATGAAAAATCATCACCTTTTCATCAGTAGTGATGCTTTATTGGTGATGAACGGTACTGCAGGGCACTTAAAATGTCTGTTTGTCTGCGATAACCCGTGCTGAATACATAGCAACAAACTATGCATTCATGTATTTAAGTGTCAGCTATCAATTTGACAAACTCTCTCGCTTTTCTTTAAAAAACTGAAAAGATTACATACCTTATTTCGGAAAACCGAATTACCCTATGCTTCTTTCTACTTCATTAATTGATTATTTTTTCAGTTTATTTTCTAAGGCATTGCTTTTAGTTTTAAATCTTTTTCCCACGGAACGGTTTCATTTTAACAGTATTTTCGATGCCACTTGAATTAGTTTCAAAACTTGCTTGTTGTATTATGCATGCTTAAACTAAACTTGCTTATAGATTGTTGATCAATTGTTCAATGATTGAACTATGTCCGAATTATCGATAAGATATATGTAAAAAAGGATAAGCGACACATATGGATTATGATAAATGCTATTGCCTGTGATTTGTCCGTCTGAGTTAAGTCAAACATACCTACATACGTATGTATCTCACCTATCACGAGATCTGCATAAGAATTTGTTCATGTGTACGCAACTGTTCGTAGTAAAATATAACATCGCCACCCTTATTTCTGTATTTTATTTGGTTTATGCATACATAATGAGAATGTATGTTAATACATATGTGCATACCTGACTCTCTAGCTTGACTGATTACAGCTGTTCTTCTTATACTGTTATTTCTGTCTCTTTTGTCACTGTTCTTGGTGTTGTTCTTTTCTTTTTACCTAATGTGTGCTTAGATTCGAGTGGTGAACGCATTCCGGCAAGGTCTCGACGCCCGTTACGGTGATCACACCAACACTTCCCTGGCAGAGGTACTGCGTAAGCAGACTTCGTTGAGCAAGCGGCTTTCGGAAACATCTTCCATTGAGTATGCCGACAATATACCCGATGAGCTGACCATACCCGAAATCGATGTCGAACGTTTGTCATCCCACAGTCACACTGAAACCGCAGTTTAAATTACATTGGCATCTATACCCATACAAACATTAAAAACGCACACATTCTTGAAAGGAAATATTCAAATGAAATTTAAGCACAGCCCGACTGTAGGTGTACAATCTACTATCGAACTGTTAATTTATTTATACTTTTAGTATTTCAAAATACCGGTGGATCTTGCTTTGAATTGTTAAGAAATCGACCTGTAACTGAGCATACTTCGTATACTAATATAGGGAACCCGGAAAAGCCAAGTAATATACCAAAATGTCAACAATTAAATTAGCAAAGCAAACCAGATCAGATCAACGGGTCTTTTTTACTGTTAAAGTGTGTTATCCAAAAATATATCTTAAAACAATACATATACCGATTATAATCACTTTTCCCCACAATAATATGAAAATGTAAACAGACAGATCCTACCCAATACACTCAAGCCATCAACTATTATTATAACGTATTTCATTTAATAAAAGAGTCAGTGATTAAAAATGTTTTGTATTTTCTTATTTAAATGTAACAAAAGGTAATTGTTATCTATTTATCTACAATAATATTTATGATTTAAAACGATTGGACGATAAAGAAAAAGGGTTTCAAACACATCAGCTTTTGCGTGGAAAATCTCTGCCCAAAAGTAAATTAATAAAAAGTAAGTACAACTTTTTTTCTCTTTGCTTAAGAGACTAATAATAAATATTAAAAGCTTAACTTACTAATGGTATTTACTTTACTTTAATGTCCCTAGGTGGGGGAGGGGGCAAGATCGTTTCGCTGTAATCGGGTGTGGCTGCTGAGCCGGCATAGCTCATTGCGTTGTCCCATAGTTCAGAGCCGTATGTCCAGATTGGCTTTAAAAGGGATAAAAGTTATAAAGTAATATTTTGTATTCAAGCGGAGGTGGGAGTTAATAAGCCAATGAAAACTGCTAGCCTTCAGTTTTAGGCAGTTCTTTGCTTCTATATGCTTTTTTCCAAGTAAGTTGTCTGGTTAGGTGTACATATATTAAGATAGGTCTTCGTCTACTTGTGGAATTGGTGTATTATTAAGGGCCAAGGGTGAGTAAGTGTCGAGAGATAGGTTTTTACATGTTCGGTTGATAATTTTTATAGATTTAGAGCAGCAGACAATTGCAGTGTCATCAGCAAAGGTTGATATTACCGTTTGATGGCTTGTGGAAATGTCCAAGCAAACAGTGATTGTTTTGTGGCAGAAGGATCTTGATTTTATAAACCAGGCCGTCGATCCTAACGCGATATTCCCTGAGCTTCTAATTCAGATGTTATGCGGCTTACCTGCTCGATCGTTCCATGCTATACTTGTTTTTTCATTGGTTTGGAAAGTAGCCCCATTTAAGTATAGAGTTGAAATCGTAATAAGCCATACAACTGCACATTAAGGTAACTCGACTATTTATCATAGCCAGGAACTTTTTTTTTGGTTTCAGCTCTTCAATGGTTTTTGAAATTGTGCATGTTTGAAAAGTAATTGGGAACGAAGGACCTACGTTTGGAACTTTCGGGAGAGTGAATTGGTTCGTCGGCAGATGGGGCTTAAAGACATTTTGTAAGTGAAAGGGAAAGATTGCAGCCTTTTCTTGATCACTGCACTCCGATTCACCTGCTTGGGATCTTAATGGCAAATCGGGTTCCATTGGTGTTTTTTTATGTCTGGGTGTGTTCTCCAGAGTGGAAATTGGTTGCAGGTGGGAGAAAGCTGCCTTACAGCTTAAGAATAGCTGCCTTTAGTCTCCCTTTGGTGGCTGGAGACCAGTGGCCCATTCCATCATTATCTGCGAAGTCGACGTTTTTCCAGTAGGCGCGAATAGACAATATATCTATTTGGGTGTGTGTTTGTGATGGTATTGGTCGTGTGCTACCCCAGTCGGAAAAAACACGCTTCCAGGATGTATTCTTTTACGCTTCCTTTGCATGCGAAAAACGCATTCCAGATCCCTGAAAGCACCCTTTCCTTTCTGTTCGAGACGGGATAAAAAGCAAGCCTTCTTTTAGAACCGATCTAAGAGCGAGTCTTAATGCGTTCCATTGGAAGGTAGTTTCAACTTCGGAAAAGTTCGGCTTTCCCTTCCATTTGTACTTTACGAAGGAAGAATTCTAAAGCGCACTGTTAGAATGAACTTAGAAACGTTCCTCGGGAACCTTTCTGGATAGCTTCCGAAGCAACCATTGCGTAAGACATCTAAAGAATGAATATTGATCCCTTCCACAAGAACACATTTAGTATGATTCCAAAACATGCATTCTAATAGTCTTACCGAGGAATGCAAATATTATAGTTCCCAAAAAAGCTTTTGGGAACCGTTTCTTTTTTCAATTCCAATTATTTTTCTTTAATTTTATTTTTATAAACGTTTGATTTAAAATTTATTGTAATTAATTATAATTACTATAATTCCTCCGGGTCGTTTTTTTCTTTTCTCATCCTTTCTGCTATACTTTTAGCCTTGTAAGTTTTGTTCTTAGCCGTAGTGAAGGTCAGACAAGGTTTTTTATGTGGTCGGTTTAGTGGTAGCCGTCCCTCCTTTGTGATATAATAATGAGAAAATATAATATAAAATATAATAATGAGAAGGAAATATGTATTTTTTTTAAATATGATTGTAAGTTTGTAAAACACTTACCGAATAATGTTTCATTTAAATGAATGTAGGACGCAAAACCTTCCCTGTCCCTAGTACCGCCATAATTAAGTTCCATTATCAAACTTGGACTTAATATCCTATTGAAGATCTAGATTTTCCGAATTCAAACATTTTTAAAAGTGCATCAAGTTGAACTCCAGTAACATTATTATTATGGTACCATTCCAATAATTTTTTACGGAGATTCATAGGTATCATACTCAAAAGAATAGTTTGATGCACTTTTTTCCGATTCGGGTTCACATAAATTTGGGCATTCATTTCCAGAATTATTTTCTGTATCAAAAGTAAAAGCTCTAGCAGCCGAAAAATTTGAAAAAAAAATTTTGAAAATCAAAATGCAAGTTGCGAGAAATGCAAAAGAAACGAAAAAGACCTCGCGCTTTCTTGCATTTTCTCTTTTGTTCTTGTCGTTTGCTTTTTAGAGTACCGTTTTGTTCGGTTACTCCTTGTGAATACAGTGGCGGAGGAAACTATAGCGCCGGCAAATGTAATACAATAATTCAAAACAAAATCTCGCTTTCAAAAGAAATCATGTAATCGTGTATATAGTATTACCTAGAATGAAAATATATAAAAAACTGATTCAAATTAATAATTTTGTAATACAATATACAATAAATATTATTATTATTAATAAAATCAAACATTAATATTTTTTACAGAATTAATTTTTAGAAAAAGTTTAACAAGTCATATACCACCAACAAAACAAAGCGTTCAGATATTGTTTTTAAAGATAAAAAGTGAATATATTTACGTCGCTGCTGTTCATTAAGAAAAATAGATTAAATTGGTTTCCCATTTTTTTGTCCATTCCGAAACGGACTTCTTTTTGCGTTCTTTCGTAAGCGAGGTTTTCGGTGAAAAACACGATCTCAAAAATATCGGACGATCGGCAGCGTTCGGGTTTCAGCTTTTTGTTTACATTGCAAATTATGCATTATAGTAGAAGGGACGATTTCACAAAAACTGTTTAGAATGCATAAACAATACTTATTTATAGCTTCTTACATTCTTTTTCGCTTGCAAAGCATTCATGAAAAGAAGCTTTTTTTATTGGAATGCGTTCTTTAACTTCAGATATCAGAGTTCCATATCAGCGAGGTGGCCTGTAGGTAAGTAGTAGCAAACGGCTCCAAAGGATGATGGCTAAAACGCTGCTTTATTAGGATGCCTCCGGTGCCTCCGTGCCCTATGCCGTCGGGGTGGTTGGTTCCGTAAAATATGTAACCGGTGAGACCGAAGTAGTTTTTGTTGGCCATTGGCTTTCCAGAAGCATACTTCTAGGGGAGGTCACCGCAAGCTACGCCGACTTGGCGTAAGGGGCAATAACTTTTTGGTTGTCCACATTCCTGGCAATTTGAGCTCTGAACAGGTGCGTTTGTGGTGAAGAATATACTAAAGCCGGTATATTGGGTGAACTGAATATTTCTTAGGAGGGTATTCTGGTCTTGAAGCCGGAATTTTACCCATTTTTTCAAGTAAGAAAAAAAATATTTTAAATTACAATTTTGTATAAATAAATTGGTCCAAGATACAGGCCGGTTCGTCCTTGTTGACATGATTACAGCCCTTGTAGAGATCGGAAAATAATAAACAAATTCTTCCTTCCTTCCGTTATCGGATTGACAAGCTTTCACAAAAAAATTATTCAAAATAACAAGACAGGGTCCACTTGAAAACAAAAAAAAAATTTTAACCAATTATTTCGACCTTTCGAATATTTTAAAAATACTTATAATCAAAATTTTGAAGTCCGACGCAGACGCAATAGAGAGTAATAAAAACTAGACTTATCGGTTCAGTAGAACTTGAAATATCATATTAGCCACCTCAAAAAAAATATTATTTTAAAGCTCTTTAACAACAAAATCATGGTAAATCTGTTTCCGAAATTATTTCTGATGAATATATTGCTTATATTATTGTTATTTTTATACCCTTGCAGAGGGTATTATGATTTCAGTGAGAAGCTTGCAACGCAGTGAAGAAGACATTTCCGACCTTATAAAGTATATATATTCTTGATCAGCATCACTAGGAGAGTCGATCTAGCCATGTCTGTCTGTCCGTCCGTTTCTATGCAAACTTGTCTCTCAGTTTTAAAGTTATCTGTATGAAACTTTCCCATAAGAACAATCAGAACAATAAGTGAAAAAAATTAATTAAACAGTAATGTTAAAAGTTTTTTTAATTGTTCGGTAAATAGTAATTGTTTAATATTTCAGAATTACGGTTTTAATTTTAATAAATTCGGCCAATTTAGCATATAGTTACCAGGGGAAGAATTTAAAAATACAAAAAAAATCTATATTTTAAAATTTTTATAATTGCGGATTGCCACGGAGAGATCCACACAGTCAAAACCTGCTCAGTGTCACCTGGAGCCACATTTTGCCAACTGGCTCTGAGAAGATCATGCGCCCAGGAACTCCACGCTGGAGGATGATGGAATCATCACCATAAACGATCACCCGGCTTGTGTGAGTGTGAACAATGGCACATACGTCCACTTACGAGGACTTCACCTCATCACCAGCTACGTCAACCACGACACGGCAGAAAAGGGCACCAGGAGTAGCTAGCTCATCCTCCCTGAACATCACTTTGGAAGACGACATACTTAGCCTTCCATACCTTCACCGCTTGAGTGAGCGTAACTTGGAGCATATTAGGAAATTCGGGAAGGATATCAATGACTATCGCTCACACCAGGAGCAATTTACTGGGCGTTGATCACTTGATCCACGGCCCACCTAAGAGAGGTGATTGCCCAAATAGGGTCTGCCGAGGGCGTCCTTAATCCTGATGGGGGAGTAGTTAACTAAGTTAACCGGGCGACGGCAATGACCGATCGTCCGAAAGCTTGCTCCGCCTGGCAAACTTTAACATACATACATACATATGTACATATGTACATAGGGAGAAACGCACATGCTTCCATTCGCGGTAAACCGTACAAAAATTTCTACAGCGACATTTACAATATAGCCCACATACAATATTTCCACTTTCCAAAAGTAAGAAGTACAATCTAGACTAATATATTTCCAAGTTTCCACAAAAACACATACATATATGTACATCCATACATACACACAACAATCCTGATAATGTACGTACATATGCCCGTCCTTTTCAACATATGTACATAAGGGGAAGGTAACGTACCGTAACGTAACGCTTCGTAACCACGGTAACGCACATACTTACATTTGCGGTACACCCTGCAAAAATTTCGACAGCGAGTCTATTAAAAACAGTTTAACTAAAAACAAAAATGTAAGATTTTCACTTAACTTTAACAAACACATAAGACTGAATCTACCCTTTTTCCCTCGTACACAACTGGAGTTGTACAATTTTAAATTGTTAGTATTATCAACTATATATAATTATAGCTTGATTCTACCAAATCCTGCTCCAGCGATACGCCTTTCTAACATATGCATTTCTATTTCATTTCTATTCAGCAGCTGTAATTCGCACACACCGTCGGCGCAGATCCAGTAAATAAAATAAATAAATGAATTTCGTGTGCATGCCGTGACGGTGCGATAAATATATATATATATATTCCAATTTTTCCTAGCTCAGCAAACAATTGCATATATTTCATAGAATAATTTTCGGAATTATCGTTTTTTCCGTCTATCAAAGTAGTTGTTCCTAAACTTTGATATTTGTACTACTGTTCCGTTTCCATATGTTCCAACGGTAGACCTGAGCTGCAACGCTAATAGCAAACACCATCGGACCAATTACTCTGATTTCTGGAATGCCAGGAGGAGACAATAAAAAGTTATTGGTTCCGCCTGCAAATAAAACGCGATCGCTATCCGCATTTACCCGCGCGAACAGCTAGACCAGTAGCCACAAAACCAATTGCGAAAGCAAAGAGCAATACTTTGTTAGATACCCTAGGAGACGAAAAGAAGCTGTCTGTTCCAACAACCAATCAGAAACGATTGTCCCTGAATTCGCTCACGCCTTAAGTTGGGTCACAAGTCAAGACCAAAACGTCCGTAAAGTCACTAGCAACCGTTCTCAGGCACAAATGAGTAACGAAATTGCAATTGGAGAATTTGGAACTCTGCACCGAAAGTGCGAATATATATATATATATATATATATATATATATATATATATATACGAAGAGCTAGCGGTTCAGCTCAGCGACTTAATCGACCGAGCCAATTCTCAACCGGTAATATCCAACATTTCGTCAGGGTGATACAAAGGTGTTCGAAGGAGATTATCTTAAATGGCCAACATTCAGAGATCTTTTCACTACCGTCTATGTCAGAGAAATGGGATTGTTTGCTGGTGTTCCTGCGCCAGAAATCTTCCTAAGTTGACCTTATCTCTACGGGAACAATCTTTCGCGACAAGTACTGATATTCCGAAGTGGGAGACGATGAACCAATTTCTGAGCAAAAGATATCGGAAATTGGAGGCCATCGAGGAAATGAAACCCAGCAATTCAAGTCAATCGTTTTCAAAAAGCCAGCCAAATCCGAAGAATCTTCAGTCTTTAAAAAACAAAGTGATTGCCAAACCGAAGAGCTGTTATTTGTGTTCTAAAGAAAGTCGGGAGAGTTCGATTGAGCCCACGTTTCATCCAGATGGCAATCGAGGCCCGGGAAAATTATATAAAAAAGAAGCAATAATGCTTAAATTGTTTCGCGAGAGGCGGGATGCTCAGACATTTCCGATGCACAGTCAAATGTGCAAGTCTGTTTTGCCTCTGGCTCTGTGGCCACCACCAAATCGAGAATCCAATAGGGTGCAAACGGGTGTTCACACTGAAAAGGGGTCAAGAAAGCGAGATTGATTTTTTGAACAATACGAATGGGGTTGGCTATGGCAGACGAATGGGAGCTATATGTGCATCAACCGGATGTGTTGACAGCTTATTTGAACGGTGATTTGGAGGAAGACGTCTACATGAAGCAACCAGAGCAGTTTGAGGATGGGTCAAATAAAGTACTTAATCTAAAAAAATCCTTGTACTGATTTGGACAACGTTCTTAACAAAACGTGTGTAAGCGAGCCATAAAAGAACAATCGCATCTTATTTTCAGGTGGTCGATAAAGGTCCTGTTTCAAATTTTTTGGAACTTGAAATATATATATTAATGGATCAGGGCGATCACATGAAGATCCTTTTGGATCTTACGCTATTTGCAATCAACAGTTGACCGGACGATAAATTATGCGCAGACCTAGATATACATATGTGGCTACTCAGATGCTGACTGTGCAAGCGATCGTAGGTCATACACCGGATACAAATTAATGTGGGGTAGTTCTGCCTTTTCTTGAGCATCGAAGAAGCAGAAATGCATCGCACTGAGCAGCACAATATGTGGCGATGTTGGCAACCACAAAAGAAACCATTTTAAACAAATTTATTAATAAAACTGAAATGTTTGTTGGTCTTCACCAGTATTAATATATGGCGACAATTTAAGCGCAATTAATCTTGTAAAGAATCCAATTTTTATGCAAGAAGCAAGCACATAGATACTAAGTATCATCACATAAGGAAATGTTATGAAGAAAAACGTATTGATTTAATATATTGTCCAACGAATAAAATGGAACCACACATATAAACAAAGAATTTACAAAAGAAAAATCATGTGAAACGTACAAGATTCCTTGGTCTACATGTAATGTAAACTTGCCAGTATTGAAGAGGAGCGCGGATTTGGCCGTTCTAGCAAGAGATTATATGTACGGCAACCCTGCCTAGCTTAGATTGTTCTTTCTTCTACTTCATAACAAAATGTAGCTAATAAACTCGAATACCAAGTGGTTTTATTTTACTTATCTTTCACGAGCTAATATTCCACCACGCGTTTTAACCTCCAAATAAAAAAACACTTTAGGGTTTTCCTTTGAAAGGGTGCAATGGGAAGGGAAATGAAACTGAAAATTATGCCTGGCGCGTGCCAGGGTTTATCCGACCATAACAATGACTTGTAATCAGCATTCGTTGCGAGCAGACGCGTTTTTCATTTCGTTATGATTCCATTTACGTGCTCTGATTGCAATGTTGCCGTTAAGCCTGCTCAGCTTCGCGGTTTTGAGGCGGTTCGATGTTCATCGTTTTGTCATCGCACTTTCCACACTTCTTGTGTTGATTTGCCTAAAGAGGCAATAAAATTGCTAACCAACATGCCGAATCTATTATGGCAATGTGATAGCTGCGTAGTGAGCAAGGATTCGCACTTAAAAACAAACGAGATCATTGAGGAACTTCTTGAACTTAAAAGCCTTTACATGCATTTAAATACAAAGTTTCAAATCGCTTTTCCCGAATCTGTGGAGGCCCCGGCTAATGTTAACACCAACAAACGGAAGAAGGAAAAAGTTGCTAGCAAACCTTCGGCTTCATCTACTTCCCATCATATCAATCACGTTGTGTCAGACCATAACCCTCCCACATATGGCTTTCAGGTGGTCTCCTAGAAAAGTAAGAAGAATCGTAACAACAAGAGGCGTATTATTGGTTCGGCGCTCGCTTGTGACCAACTTGTAGTATCGCCGAGCAAACTATTTTTGCATACTGGCAAATTCGCTGTAAACACAAAGACAGAGGCGCAAAGTAAATTCGGACAGCATATCATGCTATGCATTAACAAAAAAAGATGTAGATCTTAGCACTCTGAAGTTATTACCTTTAAGCAGTATTGTCAGGCTGTCTTCAGTGGTGATTTCTGGCCATAATCAGTTAAGATGAGCCGATTCATTCACATTATGTACATCTACCCCTGCCAAGCTTCCATCAAAAAACCCCCAGTAATCGACGTCACTGCGGTTTACTTTCGTGCATCATTTATAACTGCAGTTCTCAACTTCATCACCAACAACAAATGCATAAGCTGGTGCTTAAGCCGCTCTCCCTCTACATCGTTCTTTCGAATCAAGGCGGGCAGCCGCAGCTGTTTTCGCAACAACAGCAATACGGCGATCTCTTCGGAGTTTCGCTCTCTCATCACCATGCAGCTTCATACACTCAATCGCTTTTGACGGCCGTTTTTCTGATGTACCCAGTGCATATGATAGTAGCGCGCTCCTCATATTGGCGCTCTATCCACCTCCTGCTGCCTCGCCGCTTCGCCTTACTCATGGATGGCTGAGCGATTGCGTTGAATTATCACTCTCTTCGCACCTATAATTGCAACAACAACTACTACTACTACCGATTCTGGAAGTATCTGCAAGTTCTTCTACGATTGTGCAAATAGATTAGCCTGACACCGAGAAACTTGAATATTTTACACACTCCAGCTGGATTCCTTTTAGTTGCCAGTTTTCATTTCTCGAAAGACAAGCACATCCACCGTTATCTTCGAAATGACCATGTCCCTCAACATTTCAAAACTTTCAGCCCCTAGGGACATGTTAACAAATGAGAAGAGGAATGGGTTAAGAATGCATTCTTGTTAAACTCTGTTGTTGGAATCGAACCAATTCGATGGTTTTCGTCTATCCAACACACATGTTTTGTAAGACGATAGTTTGTTTGAGAGTCCGAGTTGGCCTAATTTTTTAATGAAGTGAACTTTGCCAAAGACCTTATAAAGGTATGTTCGCCTTCTTGGTCACCGTGTGTCCTAGCTTTTCACTACTGCCACTTTTTAATAAGAAGACATTTCTAATTTTATTATAAATCTTATTTTATTTTCTAATCGTGTATACCAAGACTTATGTGTTAACTTTTATCGAAATGTTATAGATAAGGAAATATATAAATAGATTTATGTACACAAAATGATATAACTTTTAGGTTTGAGCTCTCGAGTGTTTCATTTATAATTTATTTAAATTTACACTACAAATGAATAAAATATTATAATACGTTTTGAATATAAAACATTAACAATTTAATAAAAAAGAAAACAATTAATCCGATTTAAATGTATAAATCAATATTATTTTTTGCCTGTCACAATACAAAAAAGTTGGTTTTCCCGAAATACTTTAAAGCAAACCCATTATAAATATACTATCGGTGTTTTAAACGCTATGTCGATTCATAGCTCGTCAGCAAGGCAGCATCAACAGGCTCTAAGCAACTGGGACACGTTAGACTTCTTAACAACCAATCGTCTATACATTTGACATGATAAATATGCATGCAAGGAAGATAGCGCACAGCTTCATCAACACAAAATTCAGCCATGCAAATTACACACTCCCGTGCTTTTTTCGAGCTCCCGTCATATATTCCAATAGGTAAATGTTGCATTAATCCAATACGCTTAGCAATCTTCACTTCATTTTCGTCGGAAAGTTGACGATTAATAGAAGATGGTGGGTGAGTCACGGATGCCGAGGACGTGGGGTAAGACACTTGTTGATACTGCTCGTCCTGCTGAAATAAAAATTAAGATGAAAGTAAGGTTTATTAAGTAATAAAAAAAGTAACATGAATTTAGAAGAGTTTCCCAAATACAAATGTAGTAACCAACAAACTTGGATGTATACTGTGGATGGTGCGGCACTTTTTGGAAAGGTTTTTAAAGTCTAAATTGTTAAGAAACTACTCACGTCAGGACTCAACCCTATTCAATGCTACTGGTTATGATTCGTAGACGATCAGTACAAATAAGAGACCCTTACCAAATCCAGCCGTCCTATTGGGGCACAATATCACGTTAATGTAATAGTTTGAGTTACAATGATTCAAACTAAGATAATATGGTTCCTTGTAATTCTTTTGGATATTGAGACCCAGTAACTCACAAAAAAACGTTCTGACGTTCTGTATATCAACATGCAGATCAGATAAAATATCAAACAAGAAAGGAAGCAAACTTCGGCAGGCCGAAGTTCATATACCCTTGCAGCTATTGCAAAAATTAAAAATTAAACAAAAACGATTTTAATATAATTAAAATTATAATTCTGAACTGTCAAATTATTAATAAGCAAAAAAGAATTTTTGAAAAATAAATACAAAATAGAAAAGTAAGATTTTTTGTAAATTTATTTTTTTTACATATTTTTATTGTTCCTATGGGAGCTTTATGTTATAGTCGACCGATTTTGATGAAATTTAAACCGTAATTTTGAAATATTACTATTACTAAAAAAAAAATTAAAAACAGAAAAGTTATAATTTTTTTTATTTATTTTCCCGATTGTGCCTATGGGAGCTATATGCTATAGTCGTGCGATCCGGCTCGTTCCGACTTATGTACTACCTGCAATAGAAAGACAACGTTTGGGAAAGTTTCATGCAGATAGCTTTAAAACGTAGAGACTAGTTTGCGTAGAAACGAACGGACAGACAGACAGACGGACATGGCTTGATCGACTCTCCTAGTGATGCTGATCAAGAATATATATACTTAAAAGGGTCGGAAATGTCTCCTTGACTGCGTTGCAAACTTCTGACTGAAATTATAATTCCCTTTGCAAGGATATAAAAATTGTCAGCTGTTTTTTCAAGTGTGAGTTCTACAAAATTTTTCTTTTCTTTGCCCTTCTGCTGCTGCTTGGTAGAGAAATCGAAAGAACTGTAAGCGGCAGATGAAGGTGCTGCACGCTCTTAGCTTCTAGTTTTGTCTACGCAGTTCGACAGATGGCGCCACCTAAATATTGATTGTTCTGTAGGGGGAATACTAAGTTTGAAGTTTTTTGGCTGAGTAACGGGTATCTAATAGTCGGGAAACTCGACTATAGCGTCCTCTCTTTGTTTTTTAAAATTAAATTTAATTTATGACGTATTATTATAAAGCCCAACTGGAAAATCAAAGAATAAATAAAATTCTTACTTAAAAATGGTATCCCTATTGTAAGGGATTTTAGCCGTATATTTTAGAATAAAAACACCATTAATTTTAAAATGTATTTTTCAGAAGAAGGCGACTTTCTCGTTTTAAAGTTTATTTTAGTGAGGCTAAGGTTTTTAGTCAGGTTTAGAACTTCTAAGCAAAATATTTTCATATGGTAACAGTGGCCGTTGACTTTCTTTTATTTTTTCTTTCGACTAAGCCATATGTCTTTCGTACTCAAACTTTAAACGCCTTTAGCTCGAAATTCCATCTGATCTACTATTCCGTCTTCATTCAAATTGTTTCATTCAGTAAAGACCTGGCTATTTATTGTATGGTAATATTCAATAACGATTGAAGCTGTGAGTTTAAAAAAAACGATTAAAAAACAAAAAATCACAATATTAATAATATTGGTGCGCATTGTCACTACATGTCCTGTCGTCCATAGCAAACACTTTCTTTTTTTTACTTAATGAGTATCTAGTACAATAGATGTTTGGAAAACCACGCTCGCGAACGTTATAGAAACATAAGATCTATATTCAAACCCTGATTATGGTGAGAAAGGACTAGGTCTCTCCATGGTGTCGCAGATCTCTGACTAAAATTATAATATACTTTTGCAACGAAATACAATTACTTACTTTTATACTTATATATACTCGTACTTACATGATATAATGGCTGTGTTCCGATGGTTTGCCCGCTAAAACTCTCATTGCCTCGTAAAAGTGAAATGTCGTCTGAAGTGCTAATTTTCAAGCAATTTCCCATTTTATCCGTTCTAGAAAGATTTAACTGAAAAATATATACATTAAGATGGGGCACATTTTTAATAATGTAGATAGAACAATTTTTATCAATCGAGAATCGCATCATGGACATGATATAAAAAGTATAAATATCTTCGAATATTCGACAAAAATTAATGTTGTATCACCGTAGTAAAGTATTGTTTTATACAACTTGTGTTGTGTTTTTACGGAACTTTTATAAGAAGTACAATTGCAACACTTTTTATCAGAAAAAGCTTGACTCCAAATACATTACATTCTTGGTCAGTACTAGCATCATCATTCAAATCTCTTGAAATACTTTTCGCCTTTGGTAGAAAAATGATTCTATCAATCACTTGAAAATAGATAAATTATTCCAGACAACTTGATTTAGAAAAGAAGCATTTTAAAGCTGTTGTTGTAATGTAAATGGGGTTTTAAACTATCTTCTTACATGAATTTCAAATTATCGGAGTGGTAGATCTCTAACCTGATCCAAGTTACTTTAGGCGTGCCACAGGAAAGCCACCTTGGCCCATTTCTTTTTAGTTTATTTATTAACGATCTTCCTTCAGTCTTGACAAAGTCGTGCGTCCTTAAGTCATGCCTGCAATACTGCTATATTTTCCACATGTTGTTGTGAAAATCGATTGAACTTAAATAGCGCTAAATGCAAAATAATTGTCATTCTGTGGGTTGGCACTGTATGCCACGTATACTTTGGGTGGGTGTGAGTTGACTAGAATTAGACAAATTGATGAATTTGACGTCCTTCTGGACCATCCATAATGAATAAAGCCAGGGGAGGGCTTGGATTTATAAAAAGATGATCAAAGGAAGTCGATGATCCGTATGTCACAAAGACCTTATTTATTTCAATAGTCCAATCCTAAACTACTGCTCACCAGTTTGGCGTCCCAAATATGGTGTGCATATAGACCAAATGGATTTTGTGCAAAAAACTTTTTAATATTTGCTCTACAGGACTTAACTGGGATACAAACCTTGTCTTACCATCTTACTCTAGTAGACTTCTCCTAATAAATTTACCATCTCTAACCAACCTTAGAATGTTGCTTGGTATTACTTTTATTTGTAAAGTTATACAGGGGGATGTGGAGAGTACCGAACTACTGGCCTACTACATATCTCAATGCCTAATCGTATCATTACAAACTATTTTCTTCTTATTTTGAAACATTGTAGATCAAACTATGTTATATAAAACTAGAAAAAAAGGCATATGTTCACAGCTTTTAACAATTATTTCTTTGAAAACTATAAGACAACGACGTCCGATCGGCAAGCGCTTTTACCCTGATCAAAGTTTGGGTAAATAAATAAGACTTGGAAAAATTGGACGTATGCATAAAAAAAAGGATTTGGAAAGATATATGTCATTAGCTTGTATACATATTGCGTGCGGTAAGCAATGTAAATTCCACCATCAAGGAATAGCCGGGAGATTTTTCGCACTGCAAAACCTTACGGAACATTTTTGAAAGAGGTGATTGATGGTGGATGGTTTTCTGTGGGACTAGGCCATTACCCTTCATTTCTGAAATTCATCATTATCAGTATTTAATCAGCGACGAAGGCAGAGCTGACCTCTCAGACAACAGTCATAGCAAACTCAAAAAGAAATTAACCCATACTCTCTCAATCTCTCATTTAAAATAAAAAATTCTTTTTAACGGTTCAAAGAAGCCAATGCAAGTGACTATTTTTTTGTACGGTGCCGCCAAGGACAAGTGCTATGCCAACCATCCAAGCAACCAGAGACGATAACCGACTTAAAGCACGAGATTAAAGTCGACATTGAGGCCGTTGAGGATCCTACTATCGACAACGTGGTGAAAATTTGACTGATATATTAATTAATTTATTTGAATAGCCATTTTAAAAAGAAAACGCTATCATCGATAAGCCAACCTGTACCAAAAATCAAAATTTTTTCAAAAACTTTTGAACGGAGCATCGAAGTTGGGTGTCATTCGACGCGTGTTTCAACATAAATGCAACGAGCCTAACAGCTCCAATTTTCTAAATTGGTATTTTTTTTTACTAAACCGAATGATTTTTCCTAAAGTCTTGTTATGCAATCCCGTTAATTAAAGCAGTACCTTTCGAGTGATATAAATTTTATACTCCGATCGAACCATAACAGCCGATTTTAAATTCAGCGGCTCCTAAAATGCGAGACGTCACTATGTGTACTGCGGTCCACAATGATTGATGAAACTTAACTACGACTACTATATCATACAACTCCCTTAAAAACAGGGCTGTGAACCCATTTCAATTTGGCTAAGGTTCGGTTCGAGGTTCGAATCTAAACAATTGACAAGGTTCGGGCTTACGAACCGGTTTGTCGATATGCTGGAACAGGGTTCAGTTCCGCACAGGGGTTAAACAAAAAAAATATTTTTAAATTAAATAATAATGACAATTGTATTTTTATTGATAATCGTAAATACCTTTACATTAAGTATTATAAGAAAAGTCAATTGCTAAACTGGTTTTTTTATGTAACGTTTACATGGACACTTAAAGATGTTAAAAAAATAGATTTTCTTTAGCATTCCGTATGCAAAATAGTGCATGTCTTACTGTATTAGGCAACGATAAAAATTATAAAATAACTTAATTGAAATTTGTCAAATACATGAAGTTTAGTGTATTGCTCTGTATTTTGTACATTATTTCTTTTAGTTATTATAAGAAAACAAAATCCCCTCTTAACAAGATAAAACTTTGGTACGATCGCACATTCAACATACAATTTTGATATTAAATTTTGTTACCGAAATGGTTAAACATTTGACTGAATAAATACACTTTTTAAATGTTCGTCTCGCTTTAACAAAGAAATTAAGCTTTTTGTCTGATATGACCTTTTTCATTACAGCGTGCCGGTTAAAAAAAAAATATTAAATATGAACCCACAATTAAAAATTAAAAAAAAATTTGTTGGCAATAAGAATACAAAAAATAATTCTCAAAATAAATCGTCGCTAAAGCTTATGAGAGAGACAAATAACCAAGCGAGAGCCAAATAAACGGAGAACACTTTTCGACAGTGCCTTTTTGCACATCGGTACTCAGATCAGCTGAAAAAATACTAGAAATGTGCACAGCGTTGCCAGACGTCTGGGATGAACTTTCAATGAATGTTTGTCAGGCCCTGTAAACTTTGGTGTTCTTGGATTTTATCTTGCAAGCAAAAGGAGGGAAAAACGACAAAAAACATGAAAAAACCGCGTATCTCCACCATTCCAATAACAAATTTAACTCTACCGTCGTTTATATTCAACATCTTCAAGTTTGCTTTCTCAAATTAATTTGTATATCAACAAGCCCAGCTAATTAACAGTATACTCCGGTGAATCTAAAAACTTCGATCTCACTAGAAAGAATAAAGTTTTTTCGATGGCGAAACTGTTCGTCGATCTGAGTACTTAGGTAGTAGGCTTAAATTCTAAAATTATAAGAGGTTGGCAAAAATGGGCATTATTTATTTTTTCAAAAAAACTAATTTTAAGTGGTGGGCAAACGATTTTTGTTAAAAAAAAGAAAAAAAAGTAATTTTTAAGAGAGGGTCATACGCTTTTTGTTAAAAAAAAATATATATATATTTTTAAGAAGTGGGCAAACAATTTTTTTTTAGATTATAAAATTTTAAGAGGTGGACAAATGATTTTTGTCGAAATATAGGTAATTTTTATAAGGTGGGCAAACGTCTTTTGTCAAAAAACATTTTTAGAAGTAGTGGGCAAACGACTGTTTAAAAATTCTTAAATTTTAAGAGGTGGGCAAACATGGAAAGTTTTTATTTTTCGATAAAACTATTACTATAAAAGTTTAAATTTTTATAAAGTTTTTACTTCTTAAAAATTGTAAAAGGTGGTCAAAAAATTATCTTGTGATAAAAAAAATTTTTAAAGTCAACTTTTTGGTTTTTGTAAATTTTTGAACATCCCATATTTTCAAAACAGGTCGGGGAAAAAAAATTAATTGGTGGCAAAAATAAGCAAACGGTTCCGCTTTTCAAATTTCAAAAATTCGATTTTAGTCGACAAAACTTCTTTGAGCTCATCTTCTGTGTTTATTTTTATTTGCATACACATGTAAAACGACTCCGGAGGTACCAACAACGAAACATTTTAAAACTGCCATATGAACGATCGAAAAGTTATTTAATGTACATATGTATGTATGTCATTTTATTTTAAAGCCAATATAGTCGCTTTAAAGAACATAGCAATTGTGTTAGAGATGCTAGAGTATATCAACATTGGCTTTCTGAAAATATATTTTTCTTTCTTTGTTGACATTAATTTTGAAACTTGATGTTATACACGAATGGCATATAAACGCAGTACTTATTTACTATTAGTTAAAAGGCAATTCACCCATGTCAATTAAACTTACGTTGTATTATTAAACGTAGTGTAAGCTATATATCGAGTATTTACTTATTTAAGAATATATGTCCGAAATCAACAATGTTATCTTTATAAGTATGACCGTAATCATAATAATACCACAAAATGCATTTTTGGACAAGAGTTCCAAAAAATATTGGTGGTATTCCTTAAACTGTGAAGTGTGTAGCCAAATCGACGAAACCCGTTCATATAAGAAAAAGCAAGAGGCAAGTAACTGGCGGACACTATTCAAAGAGACTTTTTACCTAACTAAGATCGACGAAATATGTAAATGCCCAAAATTACTTGAACGTTCGATATAGCATAGTCCCACAGTCCCACAAATTTTGAGAAATGTGAAACTCCGATTTCCACAGAGCACATCAACCTTCCACCTTCCGATTTCAGCTGATCTGAACAGCTGTACTCGTCAAAACATAAACAAATTCAATAGTTTAACCATCAATGTTTATATTTTGACGAGCCTCAGCTGTTAAGATCAGCTGAAATCGGAAGGTTGAAGGTGGATGTGCTCTGTGGAAGAGTTTCCAGAGTTTCACTTTATTTCAAAAATCCTAAAGGTTTTTCAGGGATGAACTGCGTGGAAAGAGGGCTGCACTGCACAAACATCGGCTTACTATTGCATAAATTAGTCCGTCAAAGTCCGTTAAATTTTAACGTCGGACTAACAGGGAAGTTTTTGGAACGGCAAAACCATATGGACCATCCCTTCAACAGATGGTGGAAGCTGGTTGGATCTCTGTGGAAATACCCTATTACTGGCAAATTTTCGAAACGGTAAAACCTTAAGCTTATTTCGTTCAACGGATGGGTTGGGATTTTTGATGGATGGTCGACTGGTGTTCCCATAGAGCCACCATCCGCCATTTTTTATGAGGGTTCTTTAACTCCATCAAACTCTTTTAGAAGTCTTTTTGCCGGCTTTTATTATATTTGAATGATATTTGTTAGTGGATAAATGGATATACAATGGCTTATAGCAAACTCCCACAGAACCCATCCAAGCGAAACGGTTGGAATTTTCGATGGATGCTGTACTGGTGTTTCCACAGAGCCACCATCAACTTTCTACCATCCATGGCCATACAAATTCAAATTCTTTCGTTCCAACAAAGAAACATAAACAAAGATGGTGGACTTGTTGACTTTGTTTATGTGTTGACGAGCCACAGCTGTTCAGATCAGCTGAAATCGGAAGGTGGAAGGTTGATGTGCTCTGTGGAAATCAAAGTTTCACATTTGTTCAAAATTCCGACCGTTTCCAACGGATGGACTGTGTGGAAAGAGGGCATTACTTACTTTTCTGGATGTGGGAATAGGGTATAACGCTCCAAAGTGACATGTCGCGCTGTGGCAATGTGACGATACTTAAGAGATTTAAAAATACGTCAGGAACTGTCCTCTCTAATTATAAATTGAGTTGGCAAAACATGTAAACCTTGGTTGTATTATGCCCATTTAAACCAAATTGGGCAATCATGGCTGAGGAAACTTTTATTCTCATTTTATTAGTTTTGGTTATGCTTGTTGGCTCATACTTGGCCGGTAGCATTCCGATGCTGATGAAGTTGAGTGAGGTTGGTACCTATACAGAGACATTTAGGAAAATAAATTTACTTTCAATTATACAGTGGCTAGCAGCTTATTTCTACATGTCTTAAAAAATGTATCTTCTGTTATGTATTTTAAATTGATTAAATGTTGTGCAGTTGTAGGCTACAGGTTGCCATAACTTTATTTAAAATTGAAGGAAAATTGTAGACAATATCATACAAATGAAAATCTCTTTAAATACTCTTCAAACCGAAGTTAGAAAATATGCATAGATACCTATAGAATGCAAGAAAAATAAAATGTAATTTAACGTTTTAATTAGGCATTGGTGTATGGAAAGCTATACAGCGGTACCTGTTTGCGATGAAACATAAGTTTGTATGGCTGTTTCACTCAAGAGTACCCAAATATTGCAGAAAAGTACAAGAAGTTTTAGAAGTTGAAACTTGTGATCCTGTGTAATTTGATTAGTTTTTTATAGGCTTCTAAGCAGTTGAATTAAGCTATGAGCCATTGTTCGCATTAATATTTTTTGACACTGTATATTAATTTAAGGAAAAACTTAAATGTGTCACTGTGCTTGGCGCTGGCTTATTAGTTGGTACTGCTTTGGCTGTAATTATACCGGAAGGTATTCGTTCGCTATATGATGGTAGTGGACGCCAACATCTGACACCTGGCCCGGAGCTTCAAGATTACTCACAAACTATTGGACTTTCTCTTGTGCTTGGTTTTGTCTTTATGATGTTGGTGGACGTATCACAAAGAAAGAGCAATATTGGAGGAGACAAGAAAAATGGTGCCACGCTTACCCTTGGATTGGTAGTTCATGCTGCAGGTACATATTTTGTTTTTATGATTTCATTGAAGATAGAGGCTTCTAAAATCATTGCATTTTGAATTTTTTGCAGCTGACGGGGTGGCTTTGGGAGCAGCAGCCACAACAAGCCATCAGGACGTAGAGATAATTGTATTTTTAGCTATAATGCTTCATAAGGCGCCAGCAGCGTTTGGCTTAGTTACTTTCCTATTGCACGAGAAAGTGGACAGACAACAAATTCGTCGACATCTAGCCGTGTTTTCCTTATCGGCACCCCTTTTAACAGTTCTAACGTATTTTGGTATCGGCCAAGAACAGAAGGAAACGTTAAATTCAGTTAATGCTACTGGCATTGCTATGCTATTTTCGGCCGGAACTTTTTTGTACGTTGCCACCGTGCATGTTCTGCCAGAACTCACTCAGGGAGGGTGCGATTCCCATGATTATCGTTTACTAGAGGAATCTCGAGATATTGCTACTAATGATACAAATGCAGGCAACAGTATACAATCCTTAAAATATAGTGAATTGGTCATTTTAATATGTGGGGCGCTGCTGCCACTTATCATAACATTTGGACATAAGCATTAGGATAAGCATACCCACATTCCTGATAAAAAAATGTAAAGGTTAAGGGAGAATATGCAATATAATTTGTGTTTTAATTGTAAAGCAGGTAACATAATAAATAATTTTTTCATTGATGGGTTGGTTGGACTATTTTAGTATACACCTGAACAAAAACAAGGCACAAAGCTGTACCCACTAGCCAGTCGGTTTTTTAACTCGAAAACAAATAGACGAACCAATAAACCAAATGAGAGTTAAAAGCCCTTAGATTATGGTTTAAGTTTTTTAAGAAAGTTGAAAACAGTTAATAATTTCTTAAACTTCTCTCCTATGAAAATAATCGACGTTCATCTGCGCTTTGTTATCCGCATTAAAATTGTTTTTAATATCAGATCAAAAACTTTTTTTATCATTATTTTTTAAAAAATATTTGAAAGTAATATACTTATAATTTGTCCCATTTAGTTTATAGTATAAGGTCAAGTAAAAAGTAATAAAACTCAAAGCTTTTTTTTATAGTTAGAATTTATTGGTTTATTTCAAATAGGCATCATTTTTTTCTATAATCGATTGGCATTTTGATGGTAACCTTATGATATTTTATGATTTTTTTTGCAAAAAACTGATCCAGTCGGTTTTCACAATCCTCTCATGTAGCTAATTTGACACTATCCAAATCGTCCGACATTGATCGGAAAAGGTGGTAGTAACTTGGTGCGTTGTTCGGGCTATAAAGTGGATGCACAGAAACTCCCATCCAAGCTCTCGAAGCTTCTGGCGAGTCTCTATTGACGTGAAAACAATTCCTTTCCTATTGTCCAAAGCGGGGCGCTTCTGGGTAATTGCCTCCTTCAGACAGTCCAATTGTTGACAGTACAAAACCGAATTAAGTGTTTTTCCATAGGAGAGCAGTTCATAGTAGATAATTCCTTGCCAATCCCACCGAACACACAGCAAATGCTTTCTGGCCGTCATTCCTGGGTTAGCCACCGCCTGGGCCGGCTCATCCTTCGTCGTAAGTGACCCACTTTTCATCACCAGTCACCATCCGCTTCAGAAACGGGCCTGTTTTGTTGCGATTCAGCAGCGATTCGCAGATCAAAATGCGGTCCAAAAAGTTTTTTTGATAGCTCATGTGGCACTCATAAATCGAGCTTTTTTGTGTATCCTAACAAAGTCTGGTTCCAAACTGTTTTTTGAATGACGGTCAGACTCAACGATTTCCATTATTGATCATCGAAATTCCCAGAACAAAATCGACGAAACCAGAATTGTGCATGGTTGGCAGTTACAGTATTAGGGCCATATTCTCTATTTACATTTTCAGCTGACTGGCTTGCGTTATCGCCTTTGTCCAAAAATATTGTAAAATATAGCGACTTTTTCTTTGCTGGTCTCCATATTTATCGAGCTCTCAAAGCGTTTGTGTTATCGATCACAAAACTTTTCTAAGAAGCTTTTTAAAGTATTGCTCAAATTTCAAACGCCCCCTACTTAACTTAAATCGGACTTATACGACGCGAGTTCTTTTGTTTAAATAATAGATTACTTTTTACTTTAATTTGCCCCATAGGTTTTGCACCATAGGTTTATAGAAACTACCTTATTTGAAAGAATCTTATAATATTTATAATAATATTTATTATTTGTAAATTTCTTTTACTTTATTTTTAAATACAGTTGCGCTCCTAATTGTTTTAAGGTCGTGTGGTAGACGGTTCCATAATCGGATTGCATTGACGTAGAACTGCCTCTCCGAGCAGAGAGATCGACTGCGAGGGCATATATAATTATTAGTTCGTTGAGATATGCATAGATACGTTGGTTCGGGTTTGGTCACAATTTTACAGAAGTAATTTATTGACTTATATTTAATCCATGAGTTTAAATTTAGGTCAAGAATTTTATTAGTTAGGTGTGATACATGGTCAAATCTCTTTTTAAACTAAGCACATAACGAACAATTGAGTTAAATGCTAATGTTATTTTGCTCATATCTCGCGAGTCGCAATGACGAAATATTTCAACACAGTAGAATAGTGTACGAACGAGGATGGCTTTGGCGATTAGCAGCTTGTATCTACTGACAGGAATAATTTTGTATCGGAAAGTTTACGTATCCTGCCATATGTTTCTATGTGCTTGCTCCAAAACAATGTGTTACTGAATGTAATTCCCAAATTTACTGCGTGTTCTACGTATTCAATAAGTGTATTGTTTATAAATAAATTCCGTACGGTTGAAGTTACAACGGGTCTTTTGCCGATGACAATACATTTAGATTTTTTTGGGTTTATCCCCAAGCCATTTTCTTTTGCCCATTTCTCAATTACAGATAACATTTTGTTGTTTCAACTGACTCATACACTCATTTCCTTAAGTGGACTACTTACATTGGTTTATACGTCATCAAAGTATAAATGCACTTCACAATCGGACATGACACTTGGTAAGTCGTTTACATAGAGTGCGAACAATAGAGGGCCAAGTACGGATCCCTGTAAAATTCCTCTTGTCACATGCTTAAAATTGCCTGTTGGACAACTAAGACCTAATCAACCTGATTGCAGTGCTTGAAAAATTGAAATGATTTTTTAGTTTAGTACCAAGAATGTTGTGACTCACAGAATCGAAGACCTTGCTATGTTATGTTAGTTAGTTGTTATGTTAGTTATGTCAATTATGGCCGTGATATAACTTCTTCTTTTACGAAACCCTGACTGTTTATTGTGCAGTAAAGAGTTGCTTTCTAGGAAACATTAAATCTGTACAGACAAAAGGTTTTCAATAACTTTGGAAGGAAAAGGGAGGATGGAAATTGGTCTATAGTCATTGTTGGCCTTTGGTATCGGAATTATTTTTGCTCTTTTCCATACCTTCGGAAAAGAAGAAGTACTTAAAGAAGTGTTGAAGATGGAGGTTATACAAATATGGGAAATATAAACGGTAGTAATATTTTTAAAAACTTTCGGCTAATAGTGTGTTGACCTTTAACACTGGACTTTACTTAAAGAATACAAGCAAGGACATCACATTGACTTACGCACATGAAGCTAAAACTATTATCACAGTGTGTTCTGGGATTCAGGTACATCGATGGATGAAAACTTGTGGTTAAGTTCTTCAGCATTGATAGTTTGATCAGTTTTTTGGGTGGCCTAACCAATTCCTAAGCTATTCAATTCTTTTCACTTATGTTTCATGGAGGTACAGTTGTTAAATTTGTTTTTATAATGATCCCTTATAGCAGAGCGTATCTTCTTGGTTAAATTGTTTATGAAAATAGTTAGTACTGTATCGCTTCTATTTAAAGTAAGCGGTATCGCGATTATAAATGAGGTTTATAATTACATGATTTAACTAAGGGTTAATGGCACAAACTTCTCAAATAGGTACTTTTTATACTCATGCAGAGGGTATTATAATTTCAGTCAGAAGTTTGCAACGCAGTGAAGAAGACAACTCCGACCCATTAAAGTATATATATTCTTGATCAGCATCACTAGGAGAGTCGATCTAGCCATGTCCGTCTATCCGTCCGTTTCTACGCAAACTAATCTATCAGTTTTAAGGCTATCTGAATGAAACTTTCCCAAAAATTTTTTTCCTATGGCAAGTAGTATACAAGTCGGAACGAGCCGGATCGGACGACCATAGCTTATAGCTCCCATAGGAACAATCGGAAAAATAAATGAAACAAAATTATAACTTTGGTGTTTTTAATTTTTTTTTTAGTTCTTCGAGAAATAGTAATGATTAACTATTTCAGAATTACGGTTTAAATTTCATCAAAATTGGACGACTATATCATATAGCTCCCATAGGAACAATCGGGAAAAAAATACAAAAAAAATTATAGCTGCTGCTTTTAAAATTTTTTTTTTAGTTGTTCGACATATAGTATTGGTTAAATATTTTGGAATTACGGTTTAAATTTCATCAAAATCGGACGACTATATCATATAGAAATAATAAAAATATATAAAATAATTATCTAAAAATGTTTAATTCTTGCAATAGCTTCAAGGGTATATGAAATTCGGCTTGCCGACGTTTGTTTTCTTTCCCACGTAACACATTTTCAGCAGCTGAATTGCTAAAGACTTAGACATTTTAATTTGTATGGAGCAGATTTCAGGTTGTCGTTTAGGGATTTATGTTTGCTTATGACTACAGAGTGACCAAACTGAAAATATCAGAAGTAAATAATAAATCGCTTATGCGATAATTCGGTTAAGAAATATATATTTATTTATTTTTATGAAAAATATTTATATGCCGTTGTTTTGACATGTTTAGCATTCCTAATAAAGATCTATTGATAGGCATTGAAAATAGGAAGGAAAACCTACAATGTTTTGAAAACAACTTTTTTTGAGTTTTAATCCCAAAATAAAAATAACACGAATAAAACTCATAGTTCTTTAAGTTTGAAGACCTTTTACATTTGGTTTTAGAACTTCTAATTTTATTTGTAACGATTTCGGTATATAGTATATATATAACTTTTTACATTTGGCCAACCTAATCATCAAAGCTAGACGAAAGCAAGAAATTAGCTGCTAGTTCTTCATCCTTTTCACACGCGAAGTAAGCTTGCAGTACAAGTGCCTCTGGGAATCCAAGTGCTTTTAGCTATAGTTGAAATATAAATATCACTTTTGAAACAATATAGTGCTTTTTATAAATACCCGTTCTATTGCGTCCTGGTCTTGTGGGTTAAGACGAATGGTTGAGACTCCTGAAGATTGTTCAATGTCGTCGTTTTCCGCAGCATTGTCTCCTCTTTGCAACACACTTGAGCCTGCGGTTGATCTTTGTGCAGCAACAGCTCCTTCCAACTCTGACGAAAATAGGCTTCCAATCTGAGCAGAAGTCGGCTGCGTACGAGCATTTGAAGCTCGTGGTACAGTATCATTTGATTCTGAGTCACTTTCAATGGGTTGATTTAGCATATTAAGAAACGCATCCTGGTTCTCCGAAATTAGTTGTAAAAGAGCCGGATTTGTCTGACCAATCTGATTGTGGAAAATTGTTGTCATATCTGTTAAGATTTAATATTGTACTCACCTGCTGCAAAACTGCATGTAAAAGATGAGGATTTTGATATATTAAAGACCGCATTTGAAGAAACTGTGGTTGGCTTCGTAAAAACTCGAAAGGATCTGAAACAAACACAAAGAAAAATTGTAATAACCATAAAGGTAATAACTAACTACACTGGAAAATAACTTTTCAAAAGCTGTTACTCAGCTAACAAGTTTCTAAATAAATAAGACCGCAGAAAAAAATCGGATTTTACGAGGCGCCATGTGCCCCAACTTAATAAACGAGAATGGAAGCTATTTTGGGGAGCAAAAGTTAAACTACCTTGCAGAATAGTGTGTTTATGTTACGATTGCAAGAGTTTTAAACTGCGGGAATGTACTGCATACCAACCAAAATGTACTTTATGTTACCCGATCGTTCCTATGGCTGCTACAGTATATAAATATGGCCGGTCACATAGTTTCTCATATTAAGAATTCTTGGTTGATTTATTTTTTTCTTTATTTGCTAACAACTTCTACCAAGCCTACGAAATGAAGCTGCAGTTTGATGATATAGATTTTTAAATTTTTATTTACCAAAGGTAAATAGATTAATTAGATTAGTTTAAAAGTAAATTTACTATTTGTAATTATAAGCCCTGTACTAGTATTCACTTTCGAATGATCCACACACACGGTTTCGAATTTCCCAGACCAGGTCTTAAATTCCCTCCCTTATTTCCATGTTACCTTCTGAGCGAAACCTCACAGAATCTTTCCTCCTGTTATTTGGCTGATGATTCAGTTCCACAAGTAATTAATTGTTAAACATTTTTTGTGATAAGTTACATGCAAATTATATTTAAGTAATATTCGTCGTTAATGTATAATAAAATTGGTTAATAACATTTTTGGATTTTTATAAATTATTTTGTCGTTGGACCCCAAAATTAGTTTGATTTTCGGAAATCCGAACCCGCCGGTTCTACTTCCCGAACGAGTTTGAGAGGGACAATTCAAGGGTTGTCATAGTTCGAAAAAAACTATTTTCTTGATTAAAGTTTAATTTAATAGAGTTGTTGCTCTTATTACCGATTAATTTAATGTGCTAATTGTGCGAAACGTGTTGTGTTACTTCCTTTTTCATCGCGTTTGGCAACTCTGGTCCTTAACACAACTTGAGAAAAATTCACAACACTGCCTCCAGAATAGCTAATAACAATTACAAACATTTTAAAATATAATACATTCTCATAACACGCATAACTCTTTGCCTGTAGCGGCCATTTGCCAGTCAGCTTGTTTTGAATGGGAAAAATTCAGTGGAAATTCCCCAATTTATGATAAGAAATAAACAATCGATAAAAGAATACCTGGATATTTCAACAGTACAAACTAAAGTTAGTCTTAAAAAAAATTACATTTATTTGCGTGTAAGTTTAAAAATATTGAAGCTCTGATGATTTGCTCAATTGTATATTATCGTTTTCCGATTTTAATAAACTTAAAAGCATAAAAGAATTAAAAAAAAAAAAACAAAATAGAAAAGTTACATCTAAAAAAAATGTTTATAAATTTTTATTATTTCCATGGGAGCTATATGATATAGTCGTCCGATAATGAAATTTAAACCGTAATTCTGAAATATTAAACCATTACTATTTGTCGAAGAACTAAAAAAAATTTAAAAACAGCAAAGTTATAATTTTTTAAAATTTATTTTTCCGACTATGCTATAGTCGTCCGATCCGGCTCGATCCGACTTATATACTACCTGCAATAGAAAGACAACTTTTAGGAAAGTTTAATGCAGATAGCTTTAAAACTGAGAGACTAGTTTGCATATAAACGGACGGACAGACGGACATGGTTAGATCGACTCGCCTAGTGATGTTGATCAAGAATATATATACTTTATAGGGTCGGAGATGACTCCTTCACTGCGTTGCAAACTTCTGACTGAAATTAGAATACCCACTGCAAGGGTATAAAAATTAATAAACAAAGTTTTAATTTTCTTACTTACGGGAACCAAAAGTCTTATTTATTCCTAAAGCGGGGAGAGCTTCCTACTTCTACACTGGCTAGAGAGCCAAATTAAAAAGCCAAAAACAATATGCTCTAGCTGTGGAGGGTTCCTTTTGTGATAGTTTTAGATCGAACACAAAACACAGCGAGGTAAAAAAGCTGTATCGATCGCTCAAAATACAAAATATTTGAAATCAAATTTTATAACGAAAAAATATTAGGCGTTAGGTTAAATAAATACTCTTTTATTACATTTCTCCTTCATCCCGCTTTAACAAAAATGTCAGCTTTTTGTCTTCGCAAGAAATTGTTTATTGCAGTGTTTCGAATAACAAAATTTAAGCTTTTCTATCCGATTTCCCGCTTAAGAGGGTCTTCTACTCTTGAGGCGAGAAATTGAGTGATTATTTCGGGAATTTATTCCTAAAGTTTTGAAATTTTTTTTTTGTTACTTAAATTTACATGTTTTGACTTGTCAATTTGGTTTTTAAGCTTGAAAAAAAATATCCAGAACCTTGTAATGTGCTTTTCAGCACATTAAAAATTTTCGGTCAGGATTTTTTACGCCAATTTCGATGTCAACGGCGAAACGACTTACGTTATAAGTCAATCAACCTTATCATAATGTAAGATATGTTTTTTTATCTTTAAACATTGCCCTTAATATATATGACTTCACTTTTATGTGCATTTCCGAAAAAAAAAAAACACAAAAAACCATACTGGATACAAAAAATAAAATGGCATGAAAACAGGTGAAGAGTTATTTACACAAAAAAATGGTACCATACAAAAAAATTTGAGTGACATTTTTTTAGTCAGGAAGTCCATTTGCATCGGAAAGTCAAGGATTGATCTCTGGAGAATTTCATCGATTTAAATTTGTAAACCAGTTTTATTTGTTGAATAACTTATAAAGAAAGCATTGGAGTCATAGCAAATTGCGCTTCTTTCGACGCGTATTTACAACGGCCCAACCGCTTAAATTTTCTAAATTTTCATTTCTTTAGTTCTGCGGCTTTATATGTATAGTAGTCTTTTTAGAACACTCTCTTTGTGAGCAACGTCACTACATGCAGTGCCGTCCAAACAACCAAGATATAACTATTGGCCATCAAAACAAGATGGGGGATGTTACCACAGATCGTCAACTGGACCTAGACAGCGATAGAAAAAAACATCCTTCTCCACGGATTATTAATATGGTAACCAAAAACAACTTAATAAGTTACAACTGATGGCTCTTCGCCGCACCCCAAAGGATGCGCCAGCTGGTATTTTAAACCATTCTAGTATGAACATAGCCGACATGGGTTGGGCTAGACAGCGGCGGTTCAGTGCCAAGCCTAGGATTCCGAAGTAAAACCAACACAACCAATATAACTTTACTAAGAACAGCAGTATATCAGCCTAATATGAGTTCCCAAGGCATCGTAGGCCACTGTATATATTGGCAAGGCACGACACTATCATTTAGCCAGACAAGGAGAACTGGTGTACCGATGGCCATTTGCAAGCTTAATATTAAAAGCCACTACAAAGAGTATGTTTACCTGAATTGGATTCTGATGGACGATCGGCAGATGGTGCAGACACATTTTGTGGTCCGGAAGCAATTACACTAGGAGTTGATGGGTCATCAACTACGTTAAATATGGCTTCTTCCTCCACTGGTAAGCCATTAATGAGGTACTCAACGGCTCTTTCTGGGTTATTATAGCTGGCGGCCATCGCACGCTCCACCTGCTCCCGTGGGTAGCCCATTTCCACCATTGACAAAACGGTTTGATTATACTCGTCTCCCATAAGCAAGTTGGATTCAGCGCGGGATTGTAAAGATGCATTCGCTAACTCGCCAACCAAGTCGTTACTAGATATAGGTCTTGGAACAGTTGTCTCATTTGGAACAACTAATGGTAACTCTTCCGCATTCGTAGTAGCAGGGGGGCTACTAGTACTGACTTTCTCGGGAGCTAAGGTATCCTTTGAAGAGTTGGTGCTTGTCATTTTGTCAGATTCCTTTGTGCGATTTTGATTGGGTTTTGAACCGGATGCATCGCGAGTCAACATTACGACTATGAACTTTTTTTCATCAACATTGTATGATCCAACAGTACGTTCATCCGTTAGTATAACGCCAGCATAAATAAGCTTTTGCTTCTCGGCCACATACTCTGCACCGCGCTCGTCGTATATTTTCTTCTTAAGCTCCAAAACCTTTAAAAAATATTATTTTATTAAGAGACCACAAACCATTTTATGCACCATTGCATATATGTACATATGTATATCTTTACATATATTTATAACACGTACCGTTTTTTCCGGTGCAAACTCAATTGTAAAAGTTTGCTGTTGTAGGTTTTTAACTGTGATAATCATATTGGGTTTTAGACAAAAACAAAACTTAATTAAATATACATATGCATATGTAGCCTTTTTCCTAGTTTTTTAATATTGTACGCGCAAATATGATTTGTCATCAGAGTGACCGCATTTGGACTGTCGAAATATACTGGTATTCAAATTATAATATTTAATACCCTTTTTACACCGCCATGAATTGTGTTTAAATAACTTTCTATGGTACTTACACAACGCCCTTCTGACACAGTTGGGATTTTTGACAAATGTGAAACTCCAATTGTTATCGAATGGTGGATGGAGGAAGTGCCAGTGGAAATCGGACTCATATTTATTGAAAATCCCGACTGTTTTTCAAGGATGGACTTACCACCGCATAAATAAGTCTATCTAAGTCCGCCAAATTTAGATGGCGGTGGATGGATTTCTGTGGGAAGAGGCTATAAAGAGGTTGCTGCGGAAAATTGTTGCGACCCATTCACATAGGCTCCCGCTGTTGCAAATGCGGCCTAGATTAAGTAAACCAGAGGTGCCCGGCCCGTGCACACGGAAAACATTTGGAGATGTGTGGGCCCTCACATAAGGTAAGCTTGCTGGTCACATGGCGCTCAATGGCCTACTCCCAGAGAGCACCATCCACCATTTTTTTGAAAGATGATCAATAAGATTCTGCAATGCCCACAATTTCCCGATTATTCCTTGACGGTGGAATTTACTTTGCTAATAGCCAATCCACATAACAGTATTTTTTTAAGGAAACGATTAGAAAACGATATAAAAGTGAAAGTCCAATTCACACTGTCTACAGTCAATTTCTTCTACTTCCGAGTGCTCAGAAAACAAGTGAAATTTAACCAAAAATTAGTAAATAATGGAACATTTATGTTATGGCTACTATTTCGTCCAAAATAATAATAAAATCCCATAAATTTTTCAACATTATTTAATAATTTTTGGTTGAATTTTACTTTGTTTTGAGGACTCGGAAGAAGATGACTTTGACGGTGGCAGTGTGAATTAGCGTTTTACTTTTTCACGCTTCCCCAGTCAGCAATTTGAATACGGAGTAGACATAAGCCATTACTTAAAAGTTCAGAAAAATTTAACCACAATCCATAGCATAAAAAAAGTTTCTGACTTTTGACGGATTGTGAAAGGTGGCTCTGTGTGAACATCAGTCCATTATCCACAAAAAAATTCCAACCGTTTCTCTTAGATGGGCTCTGTTGGACTGGGCTATAACACTAACAATTTTTAGTTATTTGGCAAGGCAACAACAATTTCATTGGTTTTTTTTTGCAATGCATATATCAGTGGTTATCACGGCAGAGGGTAAAGTCTTTTTGGCTAAACGGCAGCAGATGCTTAATAGTGAGATCGACGAACAGTTTCGCCTGCGGAAAACCTGTATTCTTTCTAGTGTGACCAAAGTTTACAGAGTTCATGGGATTCCGTGTGCTTCGGTCAATCACCTGGGCTTGTTGACAAACCGAAAACAATTCAATTTTTTTAATTACAATATTTCCAGAGACTCATTCAACACTTTAATAATGGAAGCGACCTTAATAATTCATCGACCTGTGTTAATATCAGAGTTAACTCAATAACTCCAAAAGGAAATAATTCCCTACAGCATTACAAAGGCCAACTGAAGTTTTGTAATGACCCAACCGCATATGATTATGATAAATAAACGCTTTTCTAAGCATAGTTTCACACCATATCAAACTATCATTTGAGACATTTATAATATTTTTCTAAGCTGTTTTGGTTTTTCAAAATTGATTTTAATATTTCCCCATGAAGTTGTACTGTTCCCAAAACTTTATTGTCTTAAGTTTAATAAAATGACAGGGTCTATTTAGGATTTGCTTTGAATATAGTACATGTCTGTAGACAAAGATGTTTAAGCATTGGGAGGTTATCCATGAGCCCCTTCCACAGACTTATAAGTTACGGCCATGTGTACTTGTGTATATCGCATAGTCAAATTGTTAATTGTCAATTGTTAAATAAAAACAAATTTTTTTGTGCTCTGTGGAAACCGGAGCTTGACATTTGTTGAAAATTCAGGGATGGTTGAGTGGAAAGAGGGTGGACCGGAGAAACATCGGCTAACTATCGATTTAATTGATGCTCTTTTGGATTATCGGTGTTTCTTTGCTATTAAAATGAAAAAAATACTACCAAGATGTATACAAAACACTTTAAGTTTCCAGAAATTTTTAAAAATCTAAAATTACTTCAATTAAATTACGTCTTTAAAAAGAGACAGGTTTTCTGCTTTCCGCTTTTTAATAATTTGTCCCGCATTTGTCAATTGAAAAACTTTAGATATATTGGGAAAAATCTGAATCGGAAACGCTGCTCATAAGCTTAGGTCAGACTGGGATGTTTGCAATGGGCAAAATATATTTTCTGGTCCACCTTAACTTTTCGGACCACCTTGTTAGATTCAAGGTCAGTTGAGGACCTCGGGCGTCCTGATCTGGGAGCGTTCTCCAAACTTGCTGCTCCCTTAAAGCGCTGCACGATGTTTCTGATTGTGAATCAGCTTAGTTCCAAAATCTGGGCTATTTTGCATTAAGATTTGCCTTCACTGTGCAGGTGAAGGACAATTTTTGGTCCATTTTGTATAAATGTAGGCAAATGGCAAGAAAACTTGGGAAAAACGTCACTTTGCTTAAAAATTTTTTGTGACATGTAGTTAAGGAGAAGTTCCGTTATAAATTTCATAGAACAGTATGACCAAATTAAGCTTACGATAAAAAGAATTAAAATAAGTAAGGAAAAAAAACAAAAAATGAATCTGCTTTTGAATAAAAAAATGTTTAATTTAAATATATTAAAAAAACTGTATCATAAAAATGCTGAATACGCCTGGGAATAACATTTAAAGTTGACATTCGGCACTGTATTTCCGACCCTACAAGTATATTTATTCTTGAGCATCACTAGGAAAGTCGATCTACCCATTTTCCTCTGTTTTAAGGCTACCTGCATGAATCTTTTAAAAAAGTTATCTTTCAGACGACTTTATGATGTAGCACCCATATGTACAATCGAAAATATTAATAAAAAAATTGTAACTTTGCTTTTAAATTTTGTTTACTGTTCTTGGGAATATAGTAAAATTTAATATTTCAGAATAATAAGACATGAATAAAATTATAACTTGTCAGATTTAAATTTAAACACATACATATAAAAATCGAAATATTCGCAACAGCTGCAAGAGTATATTCATTTTGGTTTTGGTTAGTGAGTGCTGCATCTGAAAAAATGAAACATATTTCAAAAAGTTAAAATTCCAAAGCACCCCAAGATAAGGCTCTCATCATGGCTTTCCCTATTGTCATGCGCACGGAGTCGAGCTTTTCATGCAAACGACCCGACGCAGCTCTTATAAAAAAAAATGTATTCGATGTGTTTTCATTGGCATAAGTAGCTCGATATTAACTTATACGAACGTATTGCTTTAAAAATAAATTTGTTTTGAACTAATACAAAGCTTATTTGCTTTGTATAATTCAAAGGAAAGACTTCATTAATAGTTACTTGCACTATTTCAATATATTTCATACTCAGCAAATACTTTAACTAATATGTTTAAGATTTCATTATGGTTCTCTTCGTTAGTCCGGCAGCTGCAAACTTAGTGCACATGTTTTTTTAAATGTATAAACAAAGATGTTCAAAGAAAAGTGTTTTAAAGGAATATGCAATTAGTTGAATCGAAAAAATGTGCAACTTACCAGATTTAGAAACAATTCTTGGGCATAACAAAATTAAACCCATAAAATTTAAAGTACCACCTTATGTGTCCAAAAACTTAATACATTTCTCAGTAGAAAAAAAAAGTTATCCAAACTTTTATTAATATTCAACATTGTTACAAAGAAACTTTGGTACTGTCAAAATAATATTGGTGTTGTAAAATTGTATTACACCATTTGTTTGTTATTATAAAAACAAGTTGTATGTCCATACATATGTATATACTTAATATTATATAATCATGTTTTACCCTTCATATGTGTTGGATAAAGGTGCGAAATATTATGAAATTTTAAACTTTTTACTAATTCCGTATTGCAGATATGGCGAGCATAGTACTAATAGCTTGTTTGGCTGTCTTGGGTCTAATTATTGCAATCGCTCTTTTTCTGGCGGGCGGATACTTGTGGTGGAGACATAAAAGATCCCAATTACAGTTTATTGAGCCTAACGAAGACGAGGAATCCAGTAGTTATAGTCTTAGGTAAGTTTACACTTTTAACTTTGGTTTTTTCATTTACTACTTCGGTTAATTTTGTATTTATAAGGCGTTCACAATACATAATTCACCCTACTAAAAATACAGAAAAAAATACGAAATTATAATACGTTTTTTATACCCTTGCAGAGGATATTATAATTTCAGTCAGAAGTTTGCAACGCAGTGAAGGAGAGATTTCCGACCCTATTAAGTATATATATATTCTTGATCAGCATCACTAGCAGAGTCGATCTGGCTATGTCCGTCTGTCCGTTCGTCCGTCCTATTCCAAACAAACTAGTCTCTCAGTTTAAAAGCTATATTCATGAAACTTTAACAGAAGTTGTCTTTCTATTGAAGGTGGTATATATTATGAGAAAAGAGCCGGATTGGACGACTTTATCATATACATGTACATAGTTCCAATAGAAACAATCGGGGAAAAAAATGAAAAAAATTATATCTATGCTGTTTTTAATTCTTTTTCATAATTCTTCGAGATATAGTGATTGTTTATTGTTTCTGAATTATGATTTTAGTGTTTTTTATTTCGATTTAATTCAAATCGGATAACTATGTCATGTTGCTGCCGTAGGAGCGAACGAATAATATAGCTGTAAATCATCCTAGCTTCAGTTTTTTTTTAACATAAACACATATAAATCAAAATCAACTAGTTTGCGTAGAAACGGCAGAACGAAAAGACGGAGGGATAGGCGGACATGGCTATTTGTACTCTCCTAGTAATGATGATCAACAAAATAAATACTTTACCAACAGCCGTTTCAGCTGCTGCTTGAAAAGCTTTGTTTGTCTTAGGTTTGGTTTGAATTCGAGGAAAATGCCTAGGAATAGCAAAAATACGACCTGTTGGTTTAAATAACTGTCTTAACTTCTTTATTTGCATATGTTTGGTGTTGCATTCTCAATTTTAGTATAAAAGAGCGACTAACTTGGCTTGTCAGCAATTCAACAAAATTTTCAGCTTCTGGTTTGCTGAAATTTTAGCCAGTTGAATTTGTATGGAACAGCTGACGAACAGCTGACCGAATTTCCTCGATTAAGGAATACCCAAAATTTTTTCCAAGAAACAACAGCAACATGCAGTGTACACATAAAAAAACAACGCTATAGACAAGAAGATTCCCTTTACTCAACGAACCAATTTTAAAAACAATATGATCCCAGAAAACATATAACGCGCAATAACTGGGCTCTACAATCTCTTAGAATTACAGAGTTGCACGATTTGTAGGCGTTAGAGTGCACGTTAAATACAAAAATCTCGATTACTCGCTATTACTCGCAGATTAAAATGAATTCGTTCATGCGCCAAACTAAAGGCGGCCTTTTAGAAATTATCAGCTGCTTCGATGAGGCTAGAGATAGTTTTCGTCGAGTAGATGAGCTTTTCTCTGCGGTGGCCTCGCAGTTCAATAGCCGCAAGCTATTAACGGAGTCCTCTAAGCGTAAAAGGGCCGCAAAGGAGAACACCCCGCAGCCATCAGGAAGTGAGCCGATATTGTTAATGTCAAAGTGGAAAGATTCACTCTAGGTATTTTTCATCTTTCAAAGTCACTGTCCCAAACGAGCTTTCTAAAACCATATGCCGTGCCGACTTTTGGCTGCAACATATGGTGGTAAAGGAGTTCGAAGCTAAGACAAAAAAGAACGGCCCGTAGGAGTCAGTCTTCCCAGTCGAGGCCCGACTAGTGTGCCCCCTTCTTCTTCAGTTCCCTCAAATGCTCCCTCTTTAAAAAACATCCCGTCTCCTTCTTTCCTATCAAATACAAGGGGCTTACTTAGTAAGTTGACTAAACTGTATTCTGAAAGTTTACCTTTTCATCCCATGTCTATGGTGTTTACAGAAACTTGGTTGAAACCGGAGCTATTAAGCTCTGAAGTTTTCCCGGGTAAGTACACAATTTAAAGGCTTGACCGTCCTTTCAGACGAAGAGGAGGAGTCTTGATTGCAGTTGACTCAAACCTCTGAATTACTATCTCTTAAATGAAATAAATGACATTAAATTTCCAGGTACAAAATTATTGTTCCCCGGTAGTTCTATATATATTTCATGTTCATACATTCCGCCTGCATATGGGCTTTCGATTTATGCGAACTAGCTTTCCGTTATAGCGACCTTTTTTTTAACATAGGGATCTATTAATAATATCAGGTGATTTTAATATACCGAATGCGACTTGGTCCAAAGAAGATCTAAAACAGTTTTATATATTTGTTAACACTAAGCGTAATTCCGTCTATTACCCAGCATCGCTATCAGTTGCAAATTTTACGGCAGTCACTGATCAGGCAATTGCCGATCTTTTTGCGCAGCTATTCTTAACGACTTATTCAGCTACGTCCTGTCCTAATCAGTACAATTTAAACGGAATCTCGAAGTCTAACTTAATCTTTTGTCCGACTTTGAGCTCCCTTCTGCTAGATCTGCACAGGGTAAAGC